AAGAAAGTGCAGTTATTCATTAACTATTAACTTACTTGATAATCAGAAAGGAATGCCAGAATTGCTCCTACGGGGTCTAGATCTTTGGATATATACCCTAATGTATATTGGCAGAGCATTCCATATGTTTGGAACAGTTTCACAGTTTGAGTATGTGAATACTGGTATGGAGTTGTTTTAGAAAAAAGTGGGAAAATCCCAGTTCAAAAGTTATGCAACCATAATTTAAAGGACAAATATCTAAAAAATTGCTAATGAAGAACAAGATTATTTGACCCTATCTACTATATTTTTGCACTTAAAACATATGTTTATTTTCATTCAGTTGCTATCTATATTCTATCACCATTTCATGGCCTAAAACAAGACAAATGATTGTAACAGTTCTTGATTATTCATTTATGCTTTAAAGGAGAGTACTTTCTACTCTGGCAACAGATTCTGAGATTTGCTAAAACAATCTTCTAAATCCAAACAATAGTGAGCAGTATGATAAATCTTTTCATTGCATAGTGAAAAGTTTACTTCCCTAAATGACTTAAGAACTCTTTAAGTAAGAACATACTGCTTGGCAATACCCAGATTATTTGGCTTCTGCAAACCTAAGGGGGACTCACACTTGCATGAGTGCACACTGACACCTACAGACACGATTCCAAGATTCAGAGGTAGCCTTACCACCAAAATTTTTTAAGGATGTCAATATAAGTCTCATGTTATTTTATCAGGCATTGCTTGGAAAACAGAAGAGCTAAAATATACTTTTATAATAATATAAAATATATGATAGCCTGATATTTATCACATGATGAAAAAGGCGCTGTTCATATCAGTATTTTAAAAGTAAGGAAACCAAGCATTTTTTAAAATTTATTATGATCATCAATATTTTTACACAATAGGAGTTCTACTTCCTCTGGACAAATGTAGTTAGGAACATAGGAAAATACTTCCCTATTCCAAATGTGGAATGCTGGATATGTCCCTAAATTGGTTGTACCAATCATCTCTTAAAAAATAAAACAAAGAAAGATTTGGGTATAGCATAAAGGGACCTCTGTTTCTTTAATACTGTGTTTTAAGTCAGGCAGAAAGATATAAAAAGGCCGACAGAGTAAACTGCCCAAGCGAAAGCATAAAACAAAAAATTACCTTTAGCTGGGTTCACTTTTATCCCTGACCTATACAGCATTTCCTCATTCTGCCAGTCTCCATTCCTGATCGCAGTCTTGAGTCCGTAGAAAACAATTAACGTAGCTGTCGCATAAAAAATCAAGCTCTTGAGAAACCGCTTTTGGACTTTGACATAAAGGGCCCTGGCCCCCACTGTAACGAGAAGGCAGAAGCCCATACTAGGAATATACAATACTCGCTCTGCAATTACAAAGCCGACATAGAAAAACAGGTTCGTGGCAGGAACAAACGGTATTATTAACAAAGATAAAGACAGAACAACAAGGTTCTCGGTAGAAGGAAGCTGTGTTCTCTGTGATGCATTATTTTTAATGCCATTTTCCGCTTTGGATGCAAAGTTGGGCTTAATCTCTGAGTTCCGGTACTCCACATCAGAATGGCAGCTATGTCCATTTGCATTCTGCTTGCCGTTTGTTAAAAATTTCCCATTGCTTTCCTTCTCTAGGCTTGAGCTCTTCAAACCACAGTAGGCAAGGAACCCGAGTCCGCTATAGAAGGCCACAGTGTGTAGGTTTCTGCAGTCACAGATGGTTTTCAGCAGAGGCACGGCATCCATTGACCAATCAAAACTGAGAGTATCTGGGCAGAGCAACAGCCACAGGTTCTTGGTCGGCAGGTAGAAGAAGGTGAGTGTGCGAGCCAGCAGGCTGTCTGAGTCGGCGGCTGGGTTATCAGAGTTGGAAAAGCTTGGTGGTTTGTTTCCCATCCAGTATAAACGGGCACCCAAAAGGGAGGTCCCCCAGAAAGTCAACAAACTAATGCTGAGGACAAGAGGCAAGTTCTTCCTCTGAAACCAAAAGAAAGGGGAAACAAATGAAGGTCATCAGCCATACAGCATGAGAACACTTAACACTTAGAGATGAAAACATGTTTCAATGTACAAGTAAAAACTCAGCATTAGTTCTCAAATACATGACTTCATTTCCATCTCCTTATAAACATGCTTAAGGAAATTTTAACCTGAAGAAAAAAAACAAAAAGCTGATGGTGGAGGCCTACTTTACATACAGCTTTGCATGAGGATCTTCTTTTCCTGTTCCTCTCTAAAATACCAACATCCAAAGCTTCAATTTCTTATGCTCTTAAAAATGGGCTGAATATATTTCCCTTGCAGATTTGGTGCCAAGTCAAAATTAGACCACAATGGAAAAGCAGGTAGTGTTCTGCATGGGATATAATAGACATTTAATGACTATCTTTTTTCACTTTATAGTCTAGATTCTGGGGAAAACAAAGAGCAGGCATGTCAAAAAAATATGGAGTATGGCAGGATTCTGCTTGGCTCGAAGGAAGAATAGCATTAGCTATGTCTATGCCAGTCTCCATTTCACTGTCTTGAATCTCCCTGCAGAAATTATTAAATGACTTAAATAATGGACTTACTTATTTCAAGAGAAAGACAAACAATTGTGAGAAGACAGCAAAAAGGGGGCATCCCTGTTGAGAGCTTTCTAGAAAACACCTTCAACCTGAGTAAGAATTCAGGGAATCTCAAACAATCTAAGTTCTGAAGAGGCAGTGAGGGAGGTGGGGGAAAGAATGGACAGTATAGGCCATCTTTGATCACTCACTGCTAATGTGAGCTCTTACTGCACACATTCTAGCATTGTACAGAACTGTCTTACTCAGTGGCATTCAGAATGGTGTGTGGAACTTTACAAAGGATGTGCCAAATATTTGGTTTAAAAAAACAACCCCCAAAAGGCAAAAGATGCAAAAGAAACAAGTGAGGCTACATCAAGTTAAAAAAATTCTACACAGCAAAGGACACCATCAACAAAATGAAAAGGTAGCCTACTGAATGGGAGAAAATATTTACGGATCATCTGACAAAGGGTTAATATCCAAAATACATAAAATAACTCATATAGTTCAACAGAAAACACACAGACACACATAAACACACACACAACTAAAAAATGGAAAAAGATATGAATAGATATGAATAGACCTTTTTCCAAGGAAGACACACAGATGGCCAATGGGTATGTGAAAAGGTGCTCCACACCACTGATGATTAGGGAAATGCAAATCAAAACCACAATGAGGTATCGCCTCACACAAGTCAGAACGGTCAGTATCAACAAGACAAGAAGTAGTAAGTGTTGGTGCGGATGTGGTGAAAAAGAACCCTTGTGCACTGTTGGTGGGGATGTAAACTGGTGCAGCGACTGTGGAAAACAGTGTAGTCAAAAAGTCCACCAATTCCACTTCGGAATATTTACTCAAAGAAAACTGAAATCATTACCTTGAAAAGATATCTGCATCCCATACTCATTGCAGCATTATTTATAATTGCCAACACATGGAAACAACCTAAGTGTGCATCAATGGATGAATAAAGAAAATGCACCATCTCTCCACCTCTACCCCACACATATACATAATGGAATATTATTTGGCTAAAAAAAGGAGAAAATCCTGACATTTACAGCAGCATGGATGGACCCTGAGGACATTACCCTAAGAACAGTAAGTCAGACAGAGAAAGACAAATACTGTATATTCTCACTTATAGATAAAACCTTAAAGAAGCCAACTCACAGATCAAGAGAACAGATAAGTATTATGGGGAAGAGTAGGGGGATGCAGAAGGGGTAAAGGTGCTCATAAATTACAAACTTCCAGTTATAAAATAAATAATAAGTCAATCCAGGGGATGTAACGTACAGCATGGAAACTTACTTGATAATCAGAAAGGGATGCCAGAATTGCTCCTATGGGGTCTAGATCTTTGGATATATACCCTAATGTATATCGGCAGAGCATTCCATATGTTTGGAACAGTTTCACAGTTTGAGTATGTGAATACTGGTATGGAGTTGTTTTAGAAAAAAGTGGGAAAATCCCAGTTCAAAAGTAATGCAAGCAACCATAATTTAAAGGACAAATATCTAAAAAATTGCTAATGAAGAACAAGATTATTTGACCCTATCTACTATATTTTTGCACTTAAAACATATGTTTATTTTCATTCAGTTGCTATCTATATTCTATCACCATTTCATGGCCTAAAACAAGACAAATGATTGTAACAGTTCTTGATTATTCATTTATGCTTTAAAGGAGAGTACTTTCTACTCTGGCAACAGATTCTGAGATTTGCTAAAACAATCTTCTAAATCCAAACAATAGTGAGCAGTATGATAAATCTTTTCATTGCATAGTGAAAAGTTTACTTCCCTAAATGACTTAAGAACTCTTTAAGTAAGAACATACTGCTTGGCAATACCCAGATTATTTGGCTTCTGCAAACCTAAGGGGGACTCACACTTGCATGAGTGCACACTGACACCTACAGACACGATTCCAAGATTCAGAGGTAGCCTTACCACCAAAATTTTTTAAGGATGTCAATATAAGTCTCATGTTATTTTATCAGGCATTGCTTGGAAAACAGAAGAGCTAAAATATACTTTTATAATAATATAAAATATATGATAGCCTGATATTTATCACATGATGAAAAAGGCGCTGTTCATATCAGTATTTTAAAAGTAAGGAAACCAAGCATTTTTTAAAATTTATTATGATCATCAATATTTTTACACAATAGGAGTTCTACTTCCTCTGGACAAATGTAGTTAGGAACATAGGAAAATACTTCCCTATTCCAAATGTGGAATGCTGGATATGTCCCTAAATTGGTTGTACCAATCATCTCTTAAAAAATAAAACAAAGAAAGATTTGGGTATAGCATAAAGGGACCTCTGTTTCTTTAATACTGTGTTTTAAGTCAGGCAGAAAGATATAAAAAGGCCGACAGAGTAAACTGCCCAAGCGAAAGCATAAAACAAAAAATTACCTTTAGCTGGGTTCACTTTTATCCCTGACCTATACAGCATTTCCTCATTCTGCCAGTCTCCATTCCTGATCGCAGTCTTGAGTCCGTAGAAAACAATTAACGTAGCTGTCGCATAAAAAATCAAGCTCTTGAGAAACCGCTTTTGGACTTTGACATAAAGGGCCCTGGCCCCCACTGTAACGAGAAGGCAGAAGCCCATACTAGGAATATACAATACTCGCTCTGCAATTACAAAGCCGACATAGAAAAACAGGTTCGTGGCAGGAACAAACGGTATTATTAACAAAGATAAAGACAGAACAACAAGGTTCTCGGTAGAAGGAAGCTGTGTTCTCTGTGATGCATTATTTTTAATGCCATTTTCCGCTTTGGATGCAAAGTTGGGCTTAATCTCTGAGTTCCGGTACTCCACATCAGAATGGCAGCTATGTCCATTTGCATTCTGCTTGCCGTTTGTTAAAAATTTCCCATTGCTTTCCTTCTCTAGGCTTGAGCTCTTCAAACCACAGTAGGCAAGGAACCCGAGTCCGCTATAGAAGGCCACAGTGTGTAGGTTTCTGCAGTCACAGATGGTTTTCAGCAGAGGCACGGCATCCATTGACCAATCAAAACTGAGAGTATCTGGGCAGAGCAACAGCCACAGGTTCTTGGTCGGCAGGTAGAAGAAGGTGAGTGTGCGAGCCAGCAGGCTGTCTGAGTCGGCGGCTGGGTTATCAGAGTTGGAAAAGCTTGGTGGTTTGTTTCCCATCCAGTATAAACGGGCACCCAAAAGGGAGGTCCCCCAGAAAGTCAACAAACTAATGCTGAGGACAAGAGGCAAGTTCTTCCTCTGAAACCAAAAGAAAGGGGAAACAAATGAAGGTCATCAGCCATACAGCATGAGAACACTTAACACTTAGAGATGAAAACATGTTTCAATGTACAAGTAAAAAACTCAGCATTAGTTCTCAAATACATGACTTCATTTCCATCTCCTTATAAACATGCTTAAGGAAATTTTAACCTGAAGAAAAAAAACAAAAAGCTGATGGTGGAGGCCTACTTTACATACAGCTTTGCATGAGGATCTTCTTTTCCTGTTCCTCTCTAAAATACCAACATCCAAAGCTTCAATTTCTTACGCTCTTAAAAATGGGCTGAATATATTTCCCTTGCAGATTTGGTGCCAAGTCAAAATTAGACCACAATGGAAAAGCAGGTAGTGTTCTGCATGGGATATAATAGACATTTAATGACTATCTTTTTTCACTTTATAGTCTAGATTCTGGGGAAAACAAAGAGCAGGCATGTCAAAAAAATATGGAGTATGGCAGGATTCTGCTTGGCTCGAAGGAAGAATAGCATTAGCTATGTCTATGCCAGTCTCCATTTCACTGTCTTGAATCTCCCTGCAGAAATTATTAAATGACTTAAATAATGGACTTACTTATTTCAAGAGAAAGACAAACAATTGTGAGAAGACAGCAAAAAGGGGGCATCCCTGTTGAGAGCTTTCTAGAAAACACCTTCAACCTGAGTAAGAATTCAGGGAATCTCAAACAATCTAAGTTCTGAAGAGGCAGTGAGGGAGGTGGGGGAAAGAATGGACAGTATAGGCCATCTTTGATCACTCACTGCTAATGTGAGCTCTTACTGCACACATTCTAGCATTGTACAGAACTGTCTTACTCAGTGGCATTCAGAATGGTGTGTGGAACTTTACAAAGGATGTGCCAAATATTTGGTTTAAAAAAACAACCCCCAAAAGGCAAAAGATGCAAAAGAAACAAGTGAGGCTACATCAAGTTAAAAAAATTCTACACAGCAAAGGACACCATCAACAAAATGAAAAGGTAGCCTACTGAATGGGAGAAAATATTTACGGATCATCTGACAAAGGGTTAATATCCAAAATACATAAAATAACTCATATAGTTCAACAGAAAACACACAGACACACATAAACACACACACAACTAAAAAATGGAAAAAGATATGAATAGATATGAATAGACCTTTTTCCAAGGAAGACACACAGATGGCCAATGGGTATGTGAAAAGGTGCTCCACACCACTGATGATTAGGGAAATGCAAATCAAAACCACAATGAGGTATCGCCTCACACAAGTCAGAACGGTCAGTATCAACAAGACAAGAAGTAGTAAGTGTTGGTGCGGATGTGGTGAAAAAGAACCCTTGTGCACTGTTGGTGGGGATGTAAACTGGTGCAGCGACTGTGGAAAACAGTGTAGTCAAAAAGTCCACCAATTCCACTTCGGAATATTTACTCAAAGAAAACTGAAATCATTACCTTGAAAAGATATCTGCATCCCATACTCATTGCAGCATTATTTATAATTGCCAACACATGGAAACAACCTAAGTGTGCATCAATGGATGAATAAAGAAAATGCACCATCTCTCCACCTCTACCCCACACATATACATAATGGAATATTATTTGGCTAAAAAAAGGAGAAAATCCTGACATTTACAGCAGCATGGATGGACCCTGAGGACATTACCCTAAGAACAGTAAGTCAGACAGAGAAAGACAAATACTGTATATTCTCACTTATAGATAAAACCTTAAAGAAGCCAACTCACAGATCAAGAGAACAGATAAGTATTATGGGGAAGAGTAGGGGGATGCAGAAGGGGTAAAGGTGCTCATAAATTACAAACTTCCAGTTATAAAATAAATAATAAGTCAATCCAGGGGATGTAACGTACAGCATGGCGACTATAGTTAACAGTACTATACTGCATATTTGAAAGTTGCTGAGAGAGATCTTAAAAGTTATAACAAGAAAAACACAAAACTTTTCATACTATTTGTGGTGATGGATATTAACTTATTGTAGTAATCATTTGGCAATATATACATATATCAAATCATTATGTTGTGCACCTAATATGTTAAATGTTAAATATCAATTATATCTGACTTGAAAAAAAATTCACAAAAAGCAATGTATCTTGAGCTTCTATTAAAGAAGCTCAATGTTAACTTCTACTAAAACTATCTCAGTGAGCTGTATACAACCTGACCTGGACTCTCCTCAGACTCCCTCTCGTTTACCCTCCCTCTAATCGCTGTGAACTACAGAACTGGTCTGGACTACCTACTCCATCTTTACTCTGAATGGAATAACCTAAGCAAGGTTCATGACTTTAAAGAGCTAATGGCTTTTTTCAACTTTCATGCATCTCCAACTGCCTGTTGGACGCATTCACTTAGGTACTTCAAACCTCAAAATGCCCAAAATAGAACTTGATTTCACACCCTCCAGAAACTGAACATCCTCCTGTCATCACCACCATCTCAGAAAATGGTAATACTATGTAGCCAGTTTCTTCTTCACTGTTTCCCTCCTTCCCTCCACATTCCATCATTACTGAGTTCTCTCACTTTCACTTTAAAATGAATTTCAAATTTGTTGATTTCTCTTCATTTCTTCTATCATCACACTGGTCCAAAATGCCAACATCTGGACTATCTACCTAAATGGTGACTCGGCCCTTTTTAACACAGATTTAGGTTATTCCCATCTTTTAAAATCATTATCAGGCTCTCCTCCAAGGTCTTGGAAATTTTCATATATACAAAACAAAAAATTTGCAATTCATTGAGGGGTTTTGGTGATATGTCCACTTTTACATTTCAAAATTATTTTGAAAAATATTTTAAATGTTTAAAAATGGGTAATTCAGAGTGTAAAAGAAGTTAAGGCAGAAGAGGTTAGACGTTAGAGATTCAGAATAAGGAAAATGAGAAATAGCACACAGATGGAAATTACGGGCAGTTTTAAGAGAGGGACTGTTTATTAATATCAGACCAGAGTAATGTTAAATTCACAAAATTAACCGCCCCAGTGTTTTCAAGCCATCTGTGGCAAACTTCTGCTCAAAATTAATTCATGTAATATCACTTGGAAGTTTTAATGGTGGAGGGAGTAATATATTCAGTCATCACCAATCTTTAACTTTCAGGTCAATTTTGGCAAAAAATGAAATGGTTCAGAGACTCATTATCATCTAAGAATAACTTTTTTAATGATTTATTTGTGCCTCTGAAATTCTACCCAGCAGAAGTCCTAAAATTTGATTTTAGAAAAACCAACCAACAAAAAAACATATGTGAAAAGTTGAAGTAACTGTTTTGGATGGATCACATAACTAGTATTCTTGGATTACATAAGAGACAAACATTGTTTGGCAAAGACAAATAAGACAAAATATCATGGATAAAGAATAGTGATCTTGACTGAGTGTAACTGAGGCTATTACGATATCAGCTGGTGAGAATGGGCAGGATGGAGAGGAACGGCAGAAACATCACAGGGACAGGTGCCAGGCAAAAAGAAAAGCAAATGTGTGTAAGAAACACATGGGGAGGAAAATGTACTCAGATTTCTTTGCTAGTCATGAAATTCCAGAAATTAGCCTAATATTAACATAATCCTATTTTATTCCTAAAGATATAAATAAAAAAACTACCTTTTTCATTAATTTTGATAAAAGCATCTTTAGTGATTTATTAAATTGTAAAAAATTATCAAAATAAGACAGTGAGGTTGAAGATGTGATCAAAATAATTCTATTTTTTATCATGATGGATTGATATTTAAATACAATAAACTACAAAATAAAGATGTGAGTAATGAAAACTTTAATGAACACTATATATGATGTCTAAGCTGAGAAAATGACAAAATAAAATTACAAAAGACTTTACATTTTCAAACATTTTCACGTTTCAATAACTGACATAACTAAGATCAAAAGACACTAAAGTTCTGAAGGGGGATGCTCTCATCACACATTCTAACTTAAAGGCCAAGTCTGTAAGGGCTAAATAAATGCACTATTAAAGGAAAACTGAACTAACAGGCAAAAGAAAATTGATGTTCAAGTGTGTGAAACTGAAGTTTCTAAGGCCTCCTGATAGGCCACACTTGTTAAGTATCAGCCCACCTTTGAAACTGCAATTTACAAGTGTCTTAATGCCTTCTCATAGAATTTTGTTTAAAACTATCACCCCTAAAAATGGTATTCTGATAAAACCAAATCTCTCTTCTAACCTTATTCACTGTTCCTGCAGAGAGAATCTTTAAAATGGTGAAAGAAAAGCAGTATAGAAAGGTTATTTATTTTTAGTCTGTATGCTCTGATATATAGATTACATCAAGTTAACAAATTTTTATTGGGCTAAAACTGAGAGCCGAGTGACCATACAATTAGCCTTAGCATTTCTTTGTTCTTGGCTTGGTGTATCAAATTGACTTAACAGGTATTTCTGAGCCATGGCATGATACTTGTGGTGGGCTGACATGACTTGAAAGTTAAAACTAGTATAAATCCACACATAAAAGTTGAGGCTTCAAAGTCTGGGACTCTTAAACATGATTGGGGTATAACTTTTGAGTGGGAGCCCCAGACAACAACCACAATGTAATAGCTAAAATAGAATCAGCTCATTCAACCTATCATTAAGGCTGCTGCATGTGGCTGGCCCTCTACTAACATGCACTGGATATACAACTGCAAGAGACCCAAGAGAGCTCCCACCCCCATCATGCTCCTGGACATTTGCATATTCTGTTCTATCTAGAAAAACACTTTGAGGACAGCCATATGTCCAACAGTTTTCAAACCTAAAGGACCATCAGTATTAATGCTGAGCTTTTCAAATTACGGATGGCCCAGTCTGATGAAAATCTTCATAGGAGAGTCTAATGCAGCTAAGATTGAAAATCATATACTTGTACAAGTCTAATTCTTAGTACTGACACTGAAACCACTGTTGGACTCTGCCTTTCACTTCACTAAGTTTTAAGGCATATTTT